GGGGCACCTCTTTGTCTCTCCTCGCCTTTGCAAACCTTTGGAACGAGCTCCCCACAGAGATTCGGACCCTCACCTCTCTCCAGCCCTTCCGAAAAGCGGTTAAAACCTGGCTGTGTCGGCAGGCCTGGGGTCGATGAGTACCCCTCCCCTCTCGAATTGTGTGGCTGTTGGTTGTTTTAAATTCCCTTGTATTTTTGTTGTAGTTCTTTGTGTTTCCCTTCCCCTCCCTTGGGTTTGTGCGCCGCCCTGAGTCCCGTTGGGAATATAAATAAAATGAACCTTGAACCTTGAGCCTCCTAAAAGCTATGCATGCCCTTTTTTTGACAAAAAGCAGGCCTGTTTTTGTGAAAAACGGGCCATTTTTGGGAGGTCTGCAAAGTGCAAAAACTTTTTTTTCCATTTGCCTCTTCAAAATCTTGGTGCGTCTTATACTCTGAAAAATACGGTATTTGCCATGCTAGCCAGATATGGCCCTGCCCTATAATATTCAAGCATTTGTCTTCTTGTCCTTCAGGAATCAAATCTTAGATTTCCAGTGTTTTCATCAATGTGGATTACAAAATGTTATCCTTGAAAGCAAGCAGCTTGATTGCTGGAATCCACCTAGGTTCCTTCTGCAAAATTCTGCCAAAAGTAATTCCCTTCGAAATCTAACCGCCCACACAGTATTAAGAAAGAGCAAAGCCTCCGTCTCAAACAGAAGTGCCCAAATGTGTGGCAAAATAGTGAAGGCAAATTTTGTGTGCGTGTGCAGTATTATTGTCAAACCGAATCTTCCATTTCTCTTATAAGCAAAGGACTACAAAATGTCTAAAAAACTTTTTATGTGTGAGAATAAATGCTGATATTGATTGTAATTATATGACAAATCCCACCTTTTTCACCCTGTGAAATCTCCAGGAGATTATATTTCTGGCTAGTGCTCTCTATCTGTTTTGATTTTGACACAGGTCGCCCATCTGTTTTTCTTTCCTCCCGTTAGAATTGAGGTCTTTTAAAGTTTTTGTTACTCTAATGAATGCTGATAATTTTTAGAAGGAAATCAAACAAATTCCAAGATGACCATTCTTGTCATCAGTCCTTAAGGATACACTACTTTATATATTGTCAAGTAAAAATAATATATTGATAGTCCCTGGTTTTGATTGTTTTGCCTCTAATTTTAAATAAGTGGGAAGGAGCTCTGGGAAGTTAAAAGGAATAATAAAATACTGTAGTTCCCCTATTTTACTTCACTATCTCTTGCTTCAGAAATGCTCCCCTGATAGTTTCCTATCTCTACATCTCTCTCTACCTCTGTCTCTATGAGAGAGAGAGAGGGAGAGAGGGAGGGAGGGGGGGGGAAATGTAGATAGATAGGTAAGTATGCAGGTGTGAAGGGAACTGTATATCTTCTGCTTCTAAACAGATGAAAAACTCAGTTTATGATATATGCATATAGTTCTGAATCAAAGAAATTGTGGCAGGAAAGAGTTACAAATTTCCGTGCTAGGGAAAAGAAAGTGCTATTTGTTTCTGTAGATTGAAGGTTTTATTTCCTAATAACTTTCTAAGATTATTTTGATTTTCTTTTGGTACCTGCTTAGGAAAAACCTGTGATCACTGAATATCAAAGCTTCAGTCCCATTTATCTTGTAATTGCTTTTCAGTGATAATGATAATATTGAATAATAATTTATAGTAATTAATAATAATCAGAAGAGTCCTATTTGTACTTAGTTGGTGCTGAGCATTTTCTAAACCTTGCAAAATTCCTGCAATCAGGAACTTTGAGTGTATATTCCCTGACTTTTTGTGGGTTTTTTTGACTAATTTTTGATTTGTATGTTTGTCCTTTGCTTTTAACATTCCAAGTTTCTTTAAGTAAATACTATTTCTTTAAATGTCCGCAAAATATAAAAAAATTTGCGTACTTTTTAGGTTGTTAAAAATAAATAAATAAATAAATCCATACATTTAAGGTTTTAAAGGTACCGGGGTATGTGGCCCTATCATAGGGACACAAGCAGTTGAAAGGATTTGAGATGGGGATGGAAGCTGGGCAGATCACTTTAAGTACCTAGCTGAGAGTTTTGCCTTTAATAATTAATTATATTCTGTTTCCCAGTTGTGCCTGAGCTGGTTGCACTTTGAGTATATATAGCTTTTATATTATTCATATAAAATAATAGCATCCTTACTTAATATTAAGGCCATCACACTTCTTGCAGCCTGGAAAAGTGCTCTATGTCCATCAAACTCAAATTGACAGCTTTAGGGTCTCAGAATAAAGGCAGCATTTCTGAAATGAAATCAGCTTTGGCCTTGCATTTTAAGACAGAGGTTTTGTGATTTGATTTTGCAGAATATAATGTTGAAATATTCCAGCAATCGTTCACATTGCCTCATTCAAATTGTACTCCAATTACGTCTTGATTTTGATTTTACCTTCTTAGGGTCTCTTTGCAACTTGCGATTTCAATTTTGGTGTTAGAATTATTTTTATAAACAGGCACTCCTCAACTTAACAACTACTTGTTTAACGTCCGTTCAAAATTATGACAGAGGTAAAAAAAAAGTGACTTATGACCCATCCTTATACTTTTGACTATCACAGCCGTCCCTACAATCATGTGATCAAAATTTGGGCAACCCACATGCATTTACGACAGTTGCAGTATCCCAGGTCACTTGATTGTATTGTATTTGCCACCTTTCTACCAAGTAAACATGATGGGGGAAGCTTAATGATCATAGCAAAGGAGGACATAAAATCAGGTACAACTCACTTAAACGTTCCACTTCAAATTGTGGTTGTAAGTTGAGAACTACCTCTATTTGCTTGTTTGTTTAACATTTTTATAAAGCTGCCAAATGTGACTTCGGGCAGCATACAACTGTAATAGGAGAATTATACTACAGGTCTGCTTCTCTGTTTACTTTTTAATTTGTAGTTTTCCTAGTGGGCTGGAATTCTTCCTGATGGCTTTATTCTTCCAATCCTCTTTTTTCTAGATCCTATCTAAGAGCCCATTTGTGACATCATCACAACTTAACAAAAACTGTCATAAGCCACTTTGTCCTCATCACCACAATAACACTCAATGCACCTGTGAATGTAGCGGCTCTCTGTTCTCAGTATGCTTATTATTATATTAATTGTATTTAACGAAAAATATTTATTCAGTGACCTCTGGAATCCCAGTAGGGGAAAAAAATTAGCTTGCCAAATTGTAATGCTCTGTATGATTGTGGGGTCGCAGGCAGATTTTTATATGCAAGGATTTGTTTTTAAACATCAGTGAAAAATGTCAAAAACCACATTTTCGAAATGAGGAATACAAATCAGATAGCAGTTAGCAATGACTGAATCAGACTGTAGACATACTTTGAAGGAGAAGCAGCTGGAGAAAGCGCACAAGTTATTTCACAAAACACCCTTCTCCCCGCCCCTCCTTCTGCTAAATTACTTTGTGACTCCTCCTTTATTTAATTATATTTAACTGCTTTTTGGTGAATGTACCTTTTCCAGGCACCGGGAACTCCTATAATTGCTCGGCAGGTAGCACCAACCACTATAATCAAACAAGTGTCTCAGGCACAGACAACTGTACAACCCACAACAACGTTACAGAGGCCGCCTGTAGTCCAGGTAAGTGGCTTTATTTTTGTTTTTAAAGACAGCTGATATTCCTTCCGATACTATCATAATACTATTATAAATACTCCTACTCCTACTGGTTTCTTATGATTAATCCATTGTTGTTTGTAATTTATGATTAATGGTGGTAACTGTGATTATGACCTATGACCTATTATTTGCTGTTTATATGACACTGAGAGCTTATGCACCCGGGACAAATTCCTTGTTTGGCTGATTACATTTGGTCAATAAAGAATCCTATTCTAAATTCTAATTCTAAATTCTATTTCTCATTCAATTCCATTCCACTCCACTCCTATTCCTATTCCTATTCCTATTCCTATTTCTATTCCTTTCTCTTCTCTTCTCTTCTCTTCTCTTCTCTTCTCTTCTCTTCTCTTCTCTTCTCTTCTCTTCTCTTCTCATTCCTATTCCTATTCCTATTCCTGCCTCTTGTCTTCTCTTCTCTTCTCATTCCTATTCCTATTTCTGTCTCTTCTCTTCTCATTCCTATTCCTATTCCTGCCTCTTCTCTTGTCTTCTCTTCTCATTCCTATTCCTATCTCTTCTCCCTTCTCTTCCCCTCTCCTCTCCTCTCATTCCTATTCCTATTCTTATTCCTATTCCTATTCCAATTGCTATGTCTTCTCTTCTCTTCTTTTCTCTTCTCATTCCTATTCCTATTCCTGCCTCTTCTCTCATCTTCTCTTGTCTTCTCTTCTCATTCCTATCTCTCCTCTCCTTTCCTCTCCTCTCCCCTCCCCTCCCCTCTCCTCTCCTCTCATTCCTATTCCTATTCTTATTCCTATTCCTATTCCAATTGCTATGACTTCTCTTCTCTTCTTTTCTCTTCTCATTCCTATTCCTATTCCTGCCTCTTCTCTCATCTTCTCTTGTCTTCTCTTCTCATTCCTATCTCTCCTCTCCTTTCCTCTCCTCTCCCCTCCCCTCCCCTCTCCTCTCCTCTCATTCCTATTCCTATTCTTATTCCTATTCCTATTCCAATTGCTATGTCTTCTCTTCTCTTCTTTTCTCTTCTCATTCCTATTCCTATTCCTGCCTCTTCTCTCATCTTCTCTTGTCTTCTCTTCTCATTC